AATAATAATAATAATAATAATAATAATAATAATAATAATAATAATAATAATAATAATAATAATAATAATAATAATAATAGTAATGACAATGATAATAATAATAATGATAATAATACGGATAGTGATATTAGTAATAAATTAGAAATTTGACAGTTTAATTATCAAAGATTATGATGATGAAGAAATGTCATCAACAACATAATTATTACATATGACAATGATAATGTCAAACAACATTGATGATAAGGTAGTGATAGTGATAATAGAGATAGTAGATCTTGCTAATTTGAAATTCATCAAATGATAAGAATGGAAAAAATAACTAGACTTGATTCGAACTTAAAGTAAAATGTCATATTTAACGTAATGTTAGCTTATTCTAAAAGTAATTACAATTTTTGCATTGTTGAAATTTATCGTTCAACACAGCATGTATTATCCTGCAAATATATTCTTATTAAATACAATTTTAAAAAATACTTATCATACTGCTAACTCACTATTTCATATTTCTGATACAATTAATTAAGACTAATTGAAGTGACATTGGACAGGAAATAGGTCAGAATTGGGCGGTAATAATGTATGTAACATTTGAATTACTATGGAAAGGCGCAAATACACTAGCATTTTAAACAATGTTAGTAAAGGAAAACGATAGTGTAGATGATGAGTGAGAGAATAGTGACCGATGTTATTAGAAGTTGCTAATGACCAATTACCATCAAATATTCCATTCTTCAACTGACTGCAAGAAAGAATCGATGATTTGACACGGTTGTTTGACATTTGAAGCAAAGTCGTAAAGATGAAAAAGCTCGATAAATGAATGCTAGCATGAGCAAAACCGATAATTAAGGGAATTTGCTGCTTTAAAGTGTTGTTTTCGTCTATTTTATGCAGCTATAACGAGTACTGGTAGTTATGGCTCTTCTTCCTTTGATTAATAAAGATGTGTTTGGGCCAAGTTTGATAATGAGTTGAGTAATAACTTTTCAGGCCAAACCCAATATGCAATTAGTTTTGCATTAACTTAATATGCCTTCTGTTTCTCACTCGTTTTCAAATTTTTTTTCCTTGATTTGCTATTTATCGGGTCCACAGGAAAATATCTCAGCATAATAATTAAAACATTATTATTATTACTATTATTTACTAATAATAATAGTATTATTACTATTAGTGTATAATAATAATAATAACAATAACGATAATAATAATAATAATAATAATAATAATAATAATAATAATAATAATAATAATAATAATAATAATAATAATAATAATAATAATAATAATAATAATAATAATAATAATAATAATAATAATAATAATAATAATAATAATAATAATAATAATAATAATAATAATAATAATAATAATAATAATAATAATAATAATAATAATAATAATAATAATAATAATAATAATAATAATA